AGTAAATCAATTAGCACAGGGCAGCTTGTTCATCAGTATTCAATTCACAGCAGAGCTTGGCATAGTCCTTTTTATGATGCGGGCTGCCTGATTCACAGTGAATGGGCCATCTCTGAACCATACATTCCTGATTGGCACCTTGGTGATAGCATAATCTACCTAACAGACATGTAATACCTCTTAGTGTAGACTGAAGAAGGCCCAGCTAAGTTAACAGACATTGTAACAATAACAAACTTGGGTTCCACACTACTGTATTCTATGTCTAACATTCCTCTCTAGTTCTCAAAATTGCTACATTTGAATTTTTGGTACTACATTTCTGAGACAGAGTTTGAAGCTGCAGGATGATAAAGGGTACTTAATTTCGCAGATGCAGAAGTATGAATGAGAGAGCCATGCTGACTGCCTGGTAAAGTGTGACTTGGTGGTACCTTGTGGGCATGTCTTGACTCTGAGTCTAGTCCTCATGTAGACAGCTCTGAACACTGTATTTTATCAGTTTATTTAGGTGAGACTACAGGGGAATATTCACACTAGCCAAAATCACACTTGCTGTCTAGATTAAGACTTCTTGGCATCTGTGTACCCAAGAATATGAATTAGTTATTTGCACGTTGCCCTGTGACACTAGAAAAAGAACAGAGAGAATCAGATGGTCCTATGGGGCACTTTATCCAAGTTATTGTGGGAAAGCCTCATGAATGTCCTGCTTCTCAAGAGAGTAGATCCCTCTAGGGTCTGATTAAATGGGGCCCCAGAAAGGATCTCTGCCTGATAAATTCTTATTAACTACCTTATTTCACTGATTCTAAGATACACAGTTTTTCACTTTTTTTTTTTGGTGGGGGAGTAGGGTGCTGCAGTGTATCTGTCGCCCAGGCTGGAGTGAAGTGGTGCAATCTCAGCTCACGTCAACCTGTGCCTCCCAGGTTCAAGTGATTCTCCTGCTTCAGCATCCCAAGTAGCTGGGACAACAGATGCATGCCACCACACCTGGATAATTTTTGTATTTTTAGTGGAGATGGGGTTTTGCTATGTTGGCCAGGCCGGTCTTAAACTCATGGCCTCAGGTGATCTGCCCACCTGGGCCTCCCAAAGTGCTGGGATTACAGGTGTGAGCCACTGAGTCCGGACAGTTTTTCACATTTCTAACATGAAATTTTGGTGTATCATTTTTGGTATATCCTTGAAATGGTAGTGTATCATACAGTCCATGGTGTGTCAAGGTATAATCATAGTTGGCAGCATTTTTTTCTATGTGACACAGAAAATAAAGGCACATCCTAAAGGATGCAATCTTAGATGGCATGAAACATGATGACTACCCTTGTATTACTCTCCAGACTTCGACTTGTCCTGAACCGCCTCACCCTACATTCCAATATGTGGGTTACAGTTTTCCTAGGTTTGTTCTGGGCACTAGGATCCACTCTGGTCATTTGAACAGACTGGAGATCACCCAAACTTCCCTCAGCAGTAAGTTTACAAATTCTGTCTCAGGTGGGCTCACTTCTGCAGACAGCTAAGCCCTAACGTTTATTTATGTATGTATTTATTTATTTATTCAAGATGGTCTCTCACTCTGTCATCCAGGCTAGAATATGATGGCACAAACATAGCTCACTCTATCCTTGATTTCCCAAGTTCAAGTGATCCCCCTGCTGTACCCTCTTGGGTAGCTGGGACACTAGGTGCTTGGCTAACTAAAAAAAAAAAATTTTTTTTTTTTTTTTGACAGAGATGGGGTCTCCCTACGTTGCCCAGGTTAGTCTTGAACCCCTGAGCTCAAGCAGTCCTCTCACCTCAGCCTTCCAAAGTGCTGGCATTACAGGCCCAAACTACCCCTGTCATTTTCTTCATGTTCACGACTATTTCTTTCTGTCTTTTTAATTTTTTATAGAGAGAGAGTCTCACTGTTGCCCAAGCTGGCCTCTAGCTTCTGGGGTCCGCCCACCTCAGCCTTCCAAAGTGCTGGGATTATAGGCGTGAGCCACACGCAGGCCTACTCTCTTGTAAACGGTGATGATCTAAACTTAGAACCAAATGGAGGAAATCTTTTACTCCAGTGCTCGAGGACATTTGGCAGCAAGGATCCAAATTCCACATCCACAGTTGTGCCTGCCCCAAACCCCCTAATGGGCTTGTCATCTTGGTTTTCAGCTTTAGTCCGGTGACAAACGCTTATTGATGGACTTTCACAGAGTGGATATGCTGTCTCACAGCAGCAAAATTTAAGGCATTAAACTGATCTAGTCTCAGGACTTTTTCCATAAAGGATTTAGTAGCATAATATTGTCCTGGCTAAGAGCCTTACTATGTCCTTCCCAAGACTTTATTTAAGAACTTTGGTTATGGATGAAGCATGACATAAAACAAGTTTACATAACAGATCCGACACCACATAATCATATATTATAGCTGATGATAAAAGAAAAATAAGCACTTCACATGTGATGACTCTCTAGAAAGAATTTAAATTACAAACCTAAACTGAAACCTCTTGGCTCTTATTAGACCGTAGAACTGATACTATCCAACTGGAATATATAAATTACTATGTTTAGAGTCAGCATTTGACTCTTAATCAAATCCTCATGCCACTTAATCTGAGATGTTATCACTTTTAATAACTGGTAGGCAATATTTTTATATAAATATATATTCTATTTATACATGTGGTATGTTAGAGAAGCAGAGAAGCACTTTAAATTTTAAAATTGTACCTGAAGTCCTATTAACTGAAAAGTAAAAACAATTTTAGCTTATGAAATGTTCAATTGTTTAAACACTGAATTTTTTTTTTTTTTTTTTTTTTTTTTTGAGACAGAGTCTCACTCTGCCGCCCAGGCTGGAGTGCAGTGGTGCAATCTCAGCTCACTGCAACCTCTGCCTCTCGGGATCAGGTGATTCTCTTGCCTCAGCCTCCCAAGTAGCTGGGATTACAGGTGTGCCTTACCATGTGCAGGTAATTTTTGTTTTTTTAGTAGAGACAGGGTTTCACCACGATAGCCAGGCTGGTCTTAAATTCCTGACCTCAAGTGATCTGCATGCCTCAGCCTCCCAAAGTGTTGGGACTACAGGCGTGAGCCACCGAACCCAGCCAAAACATTGAAATCTTTCAACAGTGTTTTCCCTAGTAGTGGTTTAGAAAGAACGAATAGAGTCCTTCAAAAGTCTAGATGGTATTTCTCTTGCTGTTGCCTCATGCATGTGCTGCGTGTTTTTCTGCTTTACAGATTGCTCCAATTCTTCTTTGAGAAACATTCATTATCCAGTTTTTACTTGTGAGAAAACAGAGGCTCTGACATGTTGACTTACTTGCCCAAAATTCTAAATTAAGTTTCAAAGCCTATGTATATTCAACGTTGACTGCAGAGTTCGCGAGCTTCCCACTAAAGCCATCAATGAATTTAGCATGTGCTAAAAGAGGCCTGGGTTTGACATGACAAATGTTTTGACCACGCCAGCGCCAGTTACTATAGGTGAGAATGTGATCTGAAATAAACAATTTTATAAGCCGGAACACCTGTGAGATAAAATACAGGTAACTGACAAGAAGAGAAGTATTATGTAGTTAACGGTTTCAAAAACAATCATCATCGTAGCTTGGTCTCTTACACACTGAAATCTGAAACTCCTTGATATGCTCTAGCAAGGTTTCAAACAAAGATGTTTTGTTCCATGCATGTTTTTGTGGGATGGTGTAACTATGCAGGCTGTATCAGTCAACAAACGCCGTACAGAGCTGACCAATGACTCATGAAATCTTCTGTGCGCTCTCTCTCCTCAGTTTCAAACTATTCATTTCTAATTGCACTAGCAAAAGAGCCAACGGCTTGTCACATTCTTTACACTGTCTTGGCCCAGCTCTAAAGAGATAGGTTTTTAAATTTTAACTTAAAATTTTAATATGTATTTTAAAACACGTATATGCATTGTGGTAAAATATCACTTAGGAAAAAGAAAAATTATTGTAGCTATATAAATTTCTTTCTTTTCAAATACCTTTTGATTATATAATAAAAAATCCCCAAATAAAGTCTTAAGTTAGAGTTTGAAATTAAAAACCTCCACAGAGTAAAAGTAACTCTTCTTCTCTTCTCTCTTCACCTCCCTCCCAAAAAATAAGCCTTCACAGAAGATGATTTTGGCATTGGTTATGATATTTTATTGGCATTTGGGGCTTTTAATCTTTGTCTTTAAACATAAGAGTAGTGATAATGCTACAGTGCTTTTGTTTTCCTATTGTGAGCTTCTAAATCCAACTAAGTTCTTTTTCACTTATTGTTACAAGACAGAGAAGCCGGGAGCAGTGCCTCACGCCTGTTACCTAGCACTTTGGGAGGCCGAGGGAGGCATACTGCCTGAGCTCAGGAGTTAGACCAGCCTGGGCAACACGGTGAAACCCCGTCTCTACTAAAAATAAAAAAAATTAGCCGGGCTTGGTGCTGTGTGCCTATAGTCCCAGCTGCTCGGGAGGCTGAAGCAGGAGAATTGCTTGAACCGGGGAGGCAGAGGTTGCAGTGAGCCGAGATCGCGCCACTGTACTCCAGCCTGGGCGACAGAGCGAGACTCCGGCTCCAAAATAGGAAGAAGAAGAGGAAGAGAGAGAAGAAAAAAAATTATTTTTCTGTAGATAATATATTGAAATGCAGATGTAGTATAGACAGTTCTAAACCAGACAATGACATTTTAAAAAGAAATTTAGACAATGTTTACAGAAAAACAATGGCAATGACATACTGATATTAGAATAGGTGTCTCCTATTAGTTGACAATGAGTTATACATAACTTAAAACTAAGAATGACAACAGTTTCACTATAAACTCTCATTATTGTAGAAATTTGGTAAAATTGAATTCCACACTAGATGGTATGGTTTAAGACTTAGCGCCTTATGTTCTCACCTGACCTTATTAAATAGAAATCTGTTTAATCTCTGCAAGGAAATATTTTGGCCAGGAAAGCCTACGTTTGTGGTAGGTGGAGGCAGTTTATTAGGCAGCCTGCTCTCCTCTCATGATGGCCTTGGTCCGGGATCGCAGGGCTCATTATATCATGAGCATAGTTATTACATGGGTTCACTGTTTTTCCTCCTCCCTGAGGGGGACCTTTGGCACACGCTGGGAGGCCATGAAAGCCAAGGCCACCGAGCTGTGGCTCTGGCGCGCGCGTAGGAAGCGAGAAGCTCGGGAATCCAAGCCCCCGCAAATGCGCGGGTCCACGAGGTAGGCCAAGCTCCGCGCCTGGGTAGAGGGGGAAGCGAGCAGGGTCCGGGGGCGTGGCAGGAGTCTGAAGGTTTATTTACAGGGGTGCAGCTTTCTTTTGGGGTATCGCAGCGGCCGCCAGGCTGTGGCTGCCTTGTGGGGAAGCCTTGAGGCAGGCGGGACAGTGGAAGCGCAGCGGGGTTGCTCGGGAGCCCGCCCAGCCTTCTCCTACCCCTCTCCACTCCCCAGTCCCCTCCTCCTGCGCGTGCTCCCTCCCCATCCTCCTTCCCATCTCTTCCCCCTTCCTCCCACCCCTTCCCCCTCTTCCTTCCCTCCACACCTCCTCTCCTTCCTTTCCCTCGCCCGTTCCCGTGTCCCTCCCTCTCCCCCCATCCCCCACCCTATCCTCTTCCCAACCTTCTCCCTATCCCCCTCCTCCCCATCTCCTTCCCCCTTCCCCTCCCTCTTTCCTCCCTTCTCCTCCCCACCCCGTTCCCCGCCCCCCTCCACCCGCGGCCCTCCTCGGCCCCCGCCCACGGATTCCCGCGCTTCGCCGGTTCCCTGGGAGTCGCCATAGCAACGGACGCTGGATTCCTGACTCCGACTCAGCCGAGCAAGCGACTCCGCGGGAGGCGCACGTCCCGGGATGCGATGGCGAACTGGGGCGACACGCCTGAGACAGAGGAATGCCGGAAGATCCTGGAGGGCCTGGAGGCCTCTATTGAACAATTCCAGTTCAACCCCAGGTGACCCGTGGGAGAGGCAGTCCCCGGCAGCCCGCCCCGGAGCCCTCGCATCCCGGTCCTCGATCAACGCCTTTCCAGGCCCCTTGCTCCAGCCGCTGGGCTTCAGTTTTTTGTTTGTTTTTCGAGGGGATCACTGTCCGAAAAGAGCTGCAGTTTTCACTTCTTCAAGTGTATAGCTGGACACTAAGAGCACAGACTCTGGAGCCAGACTGCCCGGGTTCCAGAACCTTGGCGACCCTCTCACAGGGGCCGTGAGTTAGGCGACTGATTTCTCTGTGCTTCAGTTTTCTCAGCGGGAAATAATCGTTCATGAACGATGAAGAGTAGTGCCTGCTTCATAGATCATAGTGAATATTTAATGAGCTAATCTAGAACACAGTACCCGTCTTAGTCCCCTCGGGCTGCTGTAACAAAACAGGATGGGCTGGGTGGCTTATAAGCAACAGAAATTTGTTTCTCCCAGTTCTGGAGGCTGGGAAGCCCACTGGCAGATTCCGGGTCTGATGAGGGTCACTTCTGCACAGACAGTACCTCCTGGCTGTGTCTTCACATGGTGCAAGGGGCAAGGGGCAAGGGGCAAGGGAGTTTTCCCCCACATCCCCCACATCCGCTCCCACTTTGCCTTTAGAAGGACACTAATCCCATTTATAGGGCTCCACTTTCATGACCTAGTCACCTCCAAAGTCCACACCTGCTAATATGGTCATCTTGGGGCTTAGGATTTCAGCATGAATTGTCAGGAGACACAAACATTCAGACCATAGCAGAATCATAGAAGTGTTTGCCGATGTCATTATTTGCTATTCCTTGATCCTTGTTTATAACCCCTCCCTTTCATAATCCTTTGCCCCCTGTGTTCTAGCTTTGTTGTTTATTTGGATAATGTAGAGTTGATGTTTCTGGGAAAATGCAAATTTCTTTCTAAAAACCTTTTCAAATCAATAGGTAGCCAGAACTAGCTTAGCTGCTATGGGAGAACTTACCATTGTATTAGGCAGGGACCTCATGGTGCCAGGTGGGCTGGCTTAGGGGCAAGCCCCTCACACAGAAGCAGCTCCAGGGTGAGGAGAAAGGACCACAGTTGTCCTAGCCCAGCAGTGGGACTGACCCAGTGAGGCAGTGCTGCTGGGCTCCGCTTCCCCAGCTTCACTGTATTCAATGGGTACATTTGTTAAAATGGGTCAGGGTGTACGGGACCTGGTCTAGTGATGGTTGTGAATAGCATTTATTAGAGGCAGCATGTGGTAAACACCAGAGGCACACGGCATCTACCCTGTTCTAGTGTTTGCTGATAGGAATGGTGTCCTGCCCTGGACTCCTTGGCATTCCATGGTTGGGTAGCTCCCCCAAAAAATGCACCTGCTGGGCTCAAGGGCAGACCAATGGTGCCAGGGTGCTCATTGACTGAAGAAAACAACCACTGATGCCCATATTCATTCCTCTTCACCCAAAGTACTTGGGCAACTGAGCCAGTGCCTGGGTGTGAATGAGAGAGGCTCAGGTGCTGAATGTGGTCTACAAAGCTGACGAAAGCCCAGCCTTTGTGGAGTTTGCATCTTAGTCAGGAACTGATGATAAACAAGTAAACTATATAATAAGTTAGATAGTGGTTAGTGATAAGGAAGAAACCTAACATGGGGAGGGAGAAGAGGAAAGTGAGTGAGTGAGTGAGTGTGTGTGGCAAGTGGGGAGGGAGTTGTGATTAAATTTTTTTTTTTTTTTTTAAGAGTCAGGGTCTCACTCTGTCATCCAGGCTGGAGTGTAGTGGCACGTTCATGGCTCAGTGCAGCCTTGAACTCCTGGAGTCAAGCGATCCCTCCACCTCAGCCTCCTGAGTAGCTGAGATGACAGGCACACCCCAGCATGCCTGGCTAATTTTTTTTAATACAGGGTCTTGCTGTGTTGCCCAGGCTGGTCTCAAACTCCTGGGCTCAAGCAGTCCTCCAGCATCGACCTCCTAAAGTGCTGGGATTACAGGCATGAGCCACCATGCCTGGCCTGGATTGCAGATTTTAGAAATGATGATCAGGGAAGGCTTCACTGAGAAAATGACATTGAGGTGAAGACTTGCAGGCTTGAGGGGGGAGCCCTAAGAATCTATCAGGGTACCAAGTGTTCCAGGCAGAGAGAACACTGGGTAGAAAGACAGTGCCTGGATGTCCTAGGAGCAGCAAGGAGGCCAGTGTGGCTGGAGCAGAGAGGGAGAATAGTGGAGGTGAAGTCAGAGGGAAGGGGTTCGGTGCCTGTGGTGAGGGACTTTAGGCTACTGTAAGGACTTCAGCTTTTACTTTGAGATGGGAAGCCATGAGGGGATTGGGAAACAGGAGTGACATGATTTGATTTATCCTTCAATGGGATTACTCTGACTGCTGTTTTGATAATAGACTATAGTGAGGACGAGGGCAGAAACAAGGAAACAGGAGACTATTACAATATTCCTTGTGGAAGATGACTGTGGGGTAGCAGTGGTTGGAGGTCCAGAGAAACCTTGATGAACAGGTAGAATGGAATTGCCAGTAACCCGGAAGGGGAAGATAATGAGGTGAACAGGTCTGAAGGGAATATCATAAGCTTACTTCTGGTCATGATATGTCAGCAGTGACTATTAGACATCCATTTAGGCTGTTAAGTAGGTAGTTGATTAGATGAGTCTGAAGTTAAGAAGAGAGGTTCAGCTCCGCGATATCAGTTTGGAAATAATTAGCACAAAGATGGTGCCTTAAGTTGAGAGCCTTGGTGACATCAGCCAGGAAGTGAGTGTAGTTAGAGAAGTTTATGAGCCATGGGGCACATCAAAGTTCTGTGTTCTTTGAAGAGGAACAAAAGAAAGCAATATTCTTATTTAGCACTGAGAAATATGCCACAGTGAAAGTTTAGCACACCTAATGCTATCTTCATTGACTGATTTATTAATAAACATTTGTAGGATGGATAATTCTAGGATTCAGTGAGAAGAGTCATTGCATTTTATTAATACATATCCGTAGGTCTGTTTTCCAAAATAAATTAGGATGTTAATTTTGTATCTAATTTATTTTAAAAAACATAATTATCTTCCCCAAATTCTGTTTTATGCATAACAACCAACTTATTATTCAGAAATAGAATTGCTGAGACTATAAATAAAGACTGTGTAGGAACCACTTAGCTAATTTGTTGTGATGTGGGTTTCCATTCTAGGCAGCAGGGTTGTTAGCTAAAATTAGAGACATTTGGAATTTGAAGGGACACTGAAGAAAAAATCTTCCTCTTTCACTTAGATTCTGAATGAGCTGGATCTTTTTTAGTCAGTCACATAAAGAGTTAGGACTGGTGAAACTGGAGAGTCATGGGCTTATCCTCATCAGAGATTTAGAAGAAGAATCTGCCACTTCCAGCTCCCCCTCTGTCACCCAGGCTGGAGTGCAGTATTACGGTCACAATTCACTGCAGCCTCTGATCCCTGAGCTCAAGGGATCCTCTCTCTTCAGCCTCCTGACTAGGTGGAGCCACAGGTGTGTTCCACCATGCCCAGCTATTTTTTTTTTTTTTTTTTTTGTATTTTTGTAGAGACGGGGCTTCACCACGTTGCCCAGGCTGGTCTCAAATTCCTAAGCTCAAGCAGTCTGCCCTCCTTAGCCTCCCAAAGTGCTGGCATGAGCCACAGCAGCCAGCCTGGACCTGATTTTAAAATATCATATTGTATTATTGTAATATTATGGCACCAGAAAGAGTAACTGAAAACAGAATTTCAAATTTCTAAATCATATCCTGAAAAAAGTATATTGATAAAAACTATTCACACTCCATAAACCACCCATGATAGGTCTTTTGCTTAAAATGGGAAGGAACAGAAGAACATACGTGTTCGTGCTTAATGAAAAATGTGGCTGAATAGTAAAAAGGAGCCACTTACCACTAGGTAAGGTAAAGGATTGCATTTCTAGCCTGGAAAAGTGAATCACTGAGGTCTGTTAAATGTGCAGCAGTGTAGACTATACAGAAACAGAGTTAGTTCCCATGGCTGTTTATATTTACTATATTGATGTAGCACTCGGGGTCCAGATAAGAGGCAGAAACCTCACCGCTAACTTGAACAGGGACTATTTCCTGTTCTTTTTTAAACAGTAAGAAGGAATTTTAACTAGTAAAAGGCAGTAAGGTGGTAAAAGAAGACTCTAGGCAATACAGTGATAGTAAATGCAAAAAGCAGCTATGACCTCCAGGTCTGAGGAAGAGGAAACAGGGCAGGAACTAAGGAGTTAGAAGACCCGCCCTCGAAGGCTGAGGTTAGGA